ATGTCTGGACTTCAACTCCCAGAATTCCCCAGCCAGCGAATGCTGGCTGGGGAATTCTGGGAGTTGAAGTCCAGACATCTTCAAGTTGACAAGGTTGAGAAACACTGTTTTAGATGTTTTCTTAAGGCTGCGGATGCTCAGATAAGTTTAATTCCTTTGAAATGAAAAGATCTTAAGAATAAAAGATAGGGGGAAATAGAATTAAATGACATGTTCTCCCTCACTCCCCCTTCTCTGAGCATTGGGTAAATAAAGTTTGTGTGTGTGTGTGTGTGTGTGTGTGTGTGCGCGCGCGCATTCAATGTATTCATCCCCCTTTATTTTTTTCTTACATGAATCTGATTTTCCTGCCCCCGTCCCTTTATCCATTTTCTCTTCTCACTATCTGGCTTCCGTTCCGATTCTTGTGCGGCGAATATATGCCTAGGATGTCCGGGAGTTTCTAAGTCATATAGTTAAATGCAATAAATAAATAATCGGCTCTCAAAATGGGTTGATTGCAAAAGAGACACTGCCCTCCACCACGTCCCCGTCCACGTCACGCGGGCTTCATTCTCATGCCGCGACGGCTCCGTCCATCTCTCTCTGGAATTTCGGCGGCAATCCGAGCCCAACCCGTGGTGCCAGAGACGCCCCCCCACCAGCCCAAGCCGTGTCGATGCTCAGTTGTGGCGGAATTAAGCAGAGATGTGCAAACTGTCGAATCATCTGTGGACCAAAAAAAAGGGTCCAGGCGATGAGTTTTGTGTTTGTGTCTTTTTTAAAAAACAAACAGACTATTGTTCTCCATTCCTTTTGTGTATCTCTTTAATTCCTGATCCGAGCCAAGATTCACAGTTGCTCTTTTTATTATATAGGCATCAATGCAAATCAGTTTGGAAGGAATTGGGAGCTCGTTTTTTTTTTTTCTTTGGTGTCTGTTTTCTGTTTGACATTCCTGCTTTTATTTTTTCCTGTCCTCACTGGGGGAGAGGGGGGGGGGCTCTTGTTACACAACTCTTTAGATGCTTTTTTTTTTTTGCTGGATTTTCTTCTCGCAGGAGCTTCCAACGTTTTTTGGTTTCCTTTTGTACAATAGTTTTCTATTGAAATCTGCATGGATTAAAAAACCTAATGTACATACTCTGTGTATAAAACGAAAAAAACAAAAAAACCTTTCGTAATTCTCCCCCCCGGCGTTGCGTGTTCTTGTGGCTTTGGGTTTCCCCGTTTTGTCTGGAGGGTCGCAGCCAAAGCTGTGGGTGGGTGACACAAGGGTGGGCGGGGAGGGGAAGGGGGACGGGGTCCGCCCAGAAGCAATTTTCCAATTTTAATAGATTTGTATGCCGCCCAATCCCGAAGGAACTCCGGGCGGCTTACATTAAAAACAGTTTTAAAGTATTTAAAAAGTTTAAAAATACAAGACAGGAATGAATTAAAAGAAGGACACAACATACACTCGATATTAAGAGCCGAGGTGGCGCAGTGGTTAAAGTGCTGTACTGCAGGCCACTTCAGCTGACTGCTATCTGCAGTTCAGCGGTTCAAATCTCAAGGTCGACTCAGCCTTCCATCCTTCCGAGGTGGGTGAAATGAGGACCCGGACTGTGGGGGCAGGTTGCTG